CTAAAAAATATTTTGGGGAAAATTTGAAAGTATCAATTTTTCTTGTAAAAGCGATGAATTTTTTAAGAGGAAAGGATTTATATTTAAAGCAATCATTTCTTTTTCCTTTTTCCTTTTTATTTTCTTGGATTTTCTTCAATGTTAAATAATCTGACGATAGAGCCTCTGCAAATGAAACAGTAGTTTTCTTGCATTCTTTTGAGGTGAGGGAATTTTTTCAATTTTTTGCTAAATGTATTAGAGTCAATTGAGAATAATTTTCAATAATTAATTACTTGGTAAATTTTTAAGGCTTATTGGATAACACAAAATTAAGCTGGTACCATCTTTCGATGGGCGTTGTGAGGGTGCTATAACCTTCCTTACACGTAACTGAACTCCCGAACCCTGTTCTGGTTAGTAGACCTGAACCTATTCTTTTAAGGACCCTTAAGCTTAGGTGTTCCTTAAAAAGATAGATTCCTTAGATGGTCAATCGCACCTAGATAAAAAAGATTGGTGGCGACTCCTTCAAGTCAATGTCTAGCGATAGATCTCCGGATCTTGACGTTATGACATTGGTTGGTTTAAACTAGTATTCATTTGTAGTTTAAAAGATATGATTTTCAATTGGATTTTGTTTGACCGGCTTGTATTGAATAAGATGATAGAAATGTTTTGACTGTTCTTGAAGGAAATGCCACAGTTTTCCTACGGTACTATCTGTTTATTATTGCTATATTTTGATTCTGGGTTTGCTGCTATGCATTGCTGATCATGTGAAATGGGCATTGTAGGTTTCTATTTCATTACAATCTGGTAAATTTTCAAAAGTTAAAAACTAATCTTTTTCAATCTTTTATGTTTGGATTGTTGAAATTTGGCTTTAACATACTAGATATTGGGATAGGACTAAATCAATTTTTGAGTTCTTCAAGATTAATATACTGTTTCCGTTTTACTCTAAGGACATTCGTTTCATTGCGAATTACCTTTTTTCTTTTTCTTTTTTTTTTTACATTTCCATGTTAATTGCTGTTGCAGAATATTTCTCAAGGTGCAGTTGCCATGGAATGTCATAATTCTTGCTGACAGCTTGGATGCCAAAGGTTTGATGCTCCAAAAGACTATAGTGGTCCGCCATTTGGATGAATTTGCTCGGAAGAAGGCCACCAAGGATCTTGGATATGTCAAGGCTGTAACAACTCTGGAGAGCATTGGAGAGGCCAGAGTTAGACAGAACACTGGGGATATGCTTTTCCCTGTTGTCTTCAGTGGAATCACCTTCAAGATGTTCAGAGGATAGATTTTGGAAGGAGTTGTACACAAGGTACTAAAACATGGAGTATTCTTTAAGTGTGGACCAATCCAAAACATCTATCTGTCTCACGTAAAAATGCCCGACTACAATTATGTGCCTGGAGAGAACGCTATCTTCATGAATGACAAGCACTCGAAGATTGAGAAGGATGTTGTCATCTGATTTATTGGAACAAAGTGGATGGAAGCAGAGAGGGAATTTCAGGCATTGGTAAGTTTGGAAGGTGACTACTTAGGACCAGTTTCCTGAATATAACTTTTGTTTCATCTTTGTATGATTCGGATGTACTTGTTACTGCTTTCTTAGGAAGTAGTTGACAGTCAAGAGTGTTGGATGTTGAACTATTCTAGTTGTTGTAAATTCGATTGGACAAAGATGTTGAATTCTAGAGCTTACTTATGATGTTAGCTTTGTATAACTTGGTTCGGTTAAATTGGTTTCTGGATTTTGAAGTTTTTTAAAACTGATTTGAATCGACAACTGAACAATTGCTCACCCCTAGGCAAGTCTAGCTTTCCATTTCGAAGGGTTTTTGTTTCAATGGATGGAGCAGTAGCTAAAGAAGTAATTTGAAAGGATACCAAAGGCAAAGACTAGTGTAGATTGAAGCAATGCAAGGATGAGAAAGAAGAAAAGTTGGGACATAGAAGAGATGATACCATTATTAGATTGATCGAAAAGGCTTTGTTGCACACACAGCTATAGATGTAAGCTGTGAATATAAAGTAGTGAAGGTAAATATATTTATTTATTTAGAATCAAAATCAAATTGGTTTCACATTTCTACATTTGTTAAAGAAAAAATTAATGGAAGTAATTGCTATGATTTAGTTAATTGTTTGTAGAATCCACTTTATTTCTCATGTTTTAGTACTTCTGCTTCTAAGATCATTCTTTGTTTCTCAATCAAACTTCTTTCTTATATTTAGTTAATTCAATTTGGTAGCAATCAATAAATAAAATTTTAATATTTTTCAAAAATAACAAATATTTTTCATTTACAATAATAATTATAATAATATATAACATGTAAATCTGTCTTAGATATGGACCTAATTCTATGTAATGTTGGTTAGAAAAAATAATTAACAATTTAAATTTGTCAAACTCAAACTCAAAATTATTTAAACTTGAATTAATATGGACTTTGAAATGATTTGAACTCCAAATATAATTCAAAAATTGATTTGAAATTATTATTTAAATAATTTGATTTGATTTTAAATATAATAATTTAAACGTGAAAAATAATTCCAAATCCAATAATCTTAATTTCAAGAATAATATGAGTATCATCCGAATTGATATGTACCCACAATCATCCAAAATTTTTTTACTCTAATACTTCAATATGAAGTAAAATAACACATAAAATTGCCACCACCATAACTATAAATCTTTTCCAAAAATTATTTATACAAATAAATTCAATATTTCAAAAAATGTCAATCTGATGTGTGACTAATTAACGTAGAGATAACTGCAACATTCCAAGAAATTGGGTAAAATGTATTCATCCATCGATTGCCATGGATTTTATGCAATTATATCAAAGCAAGATTGTTTATTGTATTATCTCCTCATTTTAAACACTATAAAGAAGTTTGCAAAATTTCTGAAAATTCCCCCTAACAATGCAATCATTATGGAAAACATGCCTACAAGGCATCAAAGGCAACTTTGTCTCCAACCAAGAACTCCTCCAAACAAATGGTACATTGTTTCTTGGAACTCAATCCTCAAGTCTTCTCCTTTTCTTCATGAGTAAAAGACTATCTGATCGTATCACCAAATTTTATTTTTTTCAAAATCTGAATAGAAGACTAACTAGCAGGCTTGAAATTCAATGTCATCAATGACTCGTCCAATCACATGAATTTTTCATATAGCCTCCATCCTTCTATTATATCTAATTAAGTCTTTAAAAAAATTATATTTGTCTAATTCAATTTGAGTATAATTTGGTTTCATTAAGCTCTTTGTCTTGGATGAAAATTGAAAAAAATAATATTATTTCTAGCTAAATCAACATATATGCCATATTTCTTTTTATGATGCCAACATCTAAATAACATATATCGAAAATAAAAAAACTCTTTAGATGCTAATGTGGCTTATTACATAAGCCATTCGTTATATATTATGTAAATGACAGTTCAACTTAAATTTTTATATTTTGAAATGCATAAATTGATGTAACAAAGATAATTATTGTCATTGATATGGTAAAAATAATAAATTTTAGTGATTTTCATGTAAAATAAGACTTAATTAAATAAAAATAATGTTTTATGCTTTCAATTGGATAAAAAATAGATAAAAGTTTATTTGAGAAAGAAAAGTACAACATTTTTAGCATTTTAGTAAAAATAGTACAAGTTAAAAGTATATTCTTCAAAATCGTCACTCAAATCCATTTCAAGTGTACTCAATATAATTACAATTAAATTTTGAATGATTTCAAAGGCAGTGAATGATTAAAGGTTAAAAAGATGAAATTGTGAGAAATAATGTGTATGAGTATGTATAAGAATAAATGGTGAATAAATAATAAAATCAAAAGATTATTGGGTGAAGTTGTGTTTATTGTAATTTGGTATGCTCACCAATTGTATTCTTTGTTTGTTCAAACAAATAAAAAAGTCATATTAGAATTGCAATAGTATTCCAAAATGAAAGTACTGTAGCAAATCGGTACTACAGTAGAATATTACAACTGATATTGCAAGTCGAAATTCTAAGTTTGGCCATTAGTTACATTTCAAAAATAAGAAATTTTGAACATACAAATTGAGTGCTTAAACACAACTATTCTATGTCATAGCTGATTCACTACAAAAACTTTATTATAAAGTGCTTAAACATTTCAATACAAATAAGAGAAAAAGAAATAGATGGAAAGCAAATACACATGCTTAGAATTATTATTCAACTTGTTAGCAGCTTAATATTAGTCACTGCAAACTTCATGATCCCACAATTCTCCCAATTTTATGATTGAGAAAGGATTGGGCAATGGAAGCGATTGATGGGTAAGGGCTTGAGCAACTTGTCTCATGGTTGGCCGAAGTTGGGGACTGCCATTCAAGCATGCAAATGCTAGCTTTGTAGTAGAGACAACATCCTTTGCAACTTGCCTTACCGGTGGTGAGAGGCGTTGGTCTATCACATCTTTAAGTAAAATCAGTTGGTTGTCATTTGGTATTGATGTCGATGTTGATGCCAGTGCCGATGACGATGATGGTAAACATGAAATCAAATCACCAGGATGCCTCCCCATAAATATTTCCATTGTTAGCACCCCAAAACTATAAACATCACATCTCTCGTCTATTTTCAATGTATAAGCCAACTCTGTTTAGAAAAATATATCTAATCAATATGCTCTATTAAGCAAGAAATATATCTTATCAATAATACACTATTATGTAAGAATAAAGAATATTGAGAAGATTATTAAATAATGTTGAAAAAAATTTGTAAATGTTTAGAAGATTACTTTAAAATTGACATTCATAGGTTCTAACAAAATTTTACATTTGGTTCATCAGTTTTGACATATTAAATATTAAAAAATTAAGTGTTAAACTTCAAAGATTAATTATACATTTGATACTTGAATTGTAGTAAAATTCTTAATTTGATACTTAAAATTTGAAAAGTTACAATCATATATAATACTACTTGAACTTTGTTTTAACGCATCAATTTACACACAAAACTAATACTTTTAATTGAACGATGACATGTTTAAAGTATCTTTAAAAAAAAAAAGATATCAATAAATACCTGGAGCTATGTACCCGAAAGTGCCAGCAAGTGAGGTCCAATTGGAAGAGTCAGGTTTTAAAAGCCTGGCTGTGCCGAAATCTGAGACATGAGCCTCATAGTCCAAATCCAGAAGAACATTGTTGCTGGAAATGTCTCGATGAATTATCGGTGGTGAATGGTCATGATGCATATAAGACAAGGCATTGGCCACTCCTTTTACAGCATTTAGCCTCTTCTCCCAATCCAACTCCATTGCCTCGTCCTTGTTGCTTAACGCCATTCTCAAACTTCCCCTTTCTACAAACTCATAAACCAAAAATGAGTTCTTTGGATGTGAACAAAAGCCATACAGCTTCACAATGTTACGATGCCTTATTTCTGATAAAGCATAAATCTCGCTTTCAAAGGCTTTCAAGTTGTTGGAAATCATGCTATCTTCAGATTGGTGAAGTTTCTTCACCGCAACCACCTCACCAATGGGTAGCGCAGCTTTATAAACAGCTCCATAGCCTCCTGAACCAATGCAATTGTTGGAGCTGAAATCTTCAGTGGCTTCAATAATGTTCTCATAGAGTATTCTTCCATTATATCCCCACAATGTGAAAAAATCTCCAAGTTTTGCCTCGATTGACTCGGATTTTCTGGTTTGGTTCTTTCGGCAAAGAATAAGGAAACTTCCAGCTATGATAAAGAGCAAAAGAAGAAGACCAAAGAGTGGAAGCACAATGAAAATGATGACTTTGGAGCTTTTTCTATGACCGTTGCTAGCAGCGACTGCACAAGGCATTAGTCCAGTGGCATTACCACATAGTCCCTTATTGTTTCTTAAGGCATCAAACGAAGCCTCATGAAATGCCTTAATGTTAGGAATAGGGCCTTCTAATTGATTGTAAGATATATTCACAACAGTCAGACTTTGCAAATTATTAAAAGAATTTGGGATGGAACCATTGAGCATATTGTGAGAAAGGTCCAATGTTTCCAAGGAATGTAATTTTGCAAGCTGTTGTGGTATCTCCCCAATAAGTAAATTCTGACTTAAATCTAGATTTTGAAGGCCATTTATGTAGCTTACTGAAAGTGGAATGCTTTCTCCAAGTTTATTCTTGCTCAAATTCAGGTCCAATAACTTTGAGCACTCTCCAAGTTGATTAGGAATCGGTCCACTCAAATTGTTTGATGCCCAGTTAAGATGTTCTAGATTTGAAAGAACTCCAATCTCTGGTGGAATTTTGCCTGAAAGTTGGTTACCACTTAGCAAAAGTTTGTACATCAATGTCAATGCTCCCAATTCCTTGGGAATCTCACCAATGAGATGATTTGAAGAGACATCGAGTTCGCGTAATTGAGTTGCATACTTCAGCTCAGGTGGTATCTTTCCAGAAATGTTATTATTGGAGATTTGTAGGCTTGTTAGATTATGGCATTGCCCCCAGTTTGGCGAAAGTTCACCATAAAATTTGTTGTTGCTTAATGCAATATAATTCAAATTAGGATATATGCCAAAAGCTTCTGATATATTTCCTGTCAACTGGTTTCCTTCAAGCCTAACTCTGATTAAGCTTTTGCAGTTTCTTAAACTTGATGGGATCGGACCCCTCAAATTGTTATTGATAGCCCCAAGTAATCTGAGTTGTCCACCGGAGCATACATTCTCGGGTAATGGACCACTGAGATGGTTGTCCGATATTTGGAATGATTCCACATGAGTAACATTGTTAAGTGTTGGAGGAATGAAGCCAGATAAACTATTGTAGGAAAGGTATAATTGCCTAAGCTTCGTCATGTTTCCTATGAAAGCAGGGATTGAACCAGAAAAATTGTTTTGATTGACAATAAGTTCTGTAAGAGATACAAGCATCCCCATCTCTTGAGGTATTGACCCGGAAAGCTTATTTTCAGGAAGGTAAAGACTAGACAATTTGGTTAAGTTTCCTATGGGAGCGGGGATTGAACCAGAGAAATTGTTATCCGATAAAATAAGTTCTGTAAGAGATACGAGCATCCCTATCTCTTGAGGTATTGACCCGGAAAGCTTATTTTCAGGAAGGTAAAGACTAGACAATTTGGTTAAGTTTCCTATGGGAGCGGGGATTGAACCAGAGAAATTGTTATCCGAATTTGGAATGATTCCAAATGATAACATTGTTAAGTGTTGGAGGAATGGAAGCCAGATAAACTATGTGGGAAAGGATTAATTTCCTAAGCTTCGTCATGTTTCCTATCGAAGCAGGGATTGAACCAGAGAAATTGTTATCCGGTAAAATAAGTTCGTTGTAAGAGACACAAGCATCCCTATCTCTTGAGGTATTGACCCGCAAAGCTTATTTTCAAAGGTTTAAGACTAAACAAATTGGTTAAGTTTTCCTATGGAATTAGGGATGACAACCAGTAAGATTATTAACTTTAACAGTTTGCCATTGTTGGTTAAAGAGATCCAAAGTTGTCCTATTTCATGGGAATAGAACCAGAGAGGTTATTACCATACAGATAAAGCCATACCAAGTTACTTAGGTTTCCCAGAGATGCTGGGATAGGACCAGTTAGGTAGTTCATTGAAAGATCAAGCATAACAAGTGACCTCATCATTCCAACTTCTTCAGGTATGGAACCATTAAGCCTATTGTCAACGAGGATAAATCGGGACAAATTGTGCAAGCTTCCAATAGAAATAGGTATTGGACCAGTGAGATCGTTTTCATGGAGATAGAGAATAGAAAGTGAACTTAACAAACCTTCCTATGTTAGAATGGAATATTTCCGGAGAAATGATTCATGGGACAAGTTGCAAGTTGGTGAGCTTGGAAAGATTTTCCAATGTGATGAAGGGAATGGGCCCATACAGTGAGTTGCTTAGGAAGGTGAAGACCCATGAAGGTATGGGGAAGACAAGAAGTTGAGACTATGAAGTGTACCTTTGAACCCATAATTCTGGAAGGCTTAGATGGTGATGCTTCCAGCCTTGTTGCAAGTGGATTTCCGACCCAATTGCAGATGGCTGTCTCCAACCACACAAAGAAGAGAGCAAAGTTTGGGTGTTTGTTGTCAAGGCTAAGCTTTCCATTTTAGGAGAGTTTCTGCTTTCATTTGCAGCAATTGCGAGATGAGAAGCTAAGAACAGACGAGGAAAGATGATTCAGGGACGACTATAAGGAAGAACAGGGCTTTGAATGGTATTATGAAGGATACCATGATTTGGATGGTTCAAAAAGGATTGTTTGTTAGTTGTTGTAAATTACATTGGCATGGTCAGGTATTTATGCAAAAAACTAGAGTATTTCAGTCACTATGAAACATCCACATCATGTGGAAACATGCAACTTCAAGACCGGGACTTTTACGTTTATATTATTATCCCTGGAAACAAATTTATTTTTTGACTTTCGAAAAGCTTGCTTGAAATACATAACACCCTTCAAGTACTTCATCCAACCATAGCCTAGAAGAAGAAATTTAGTAAGGGCTTGATCCCAGTTTCAGAAAGAAACAGAGGCTGATATCGCTTTCGCAAAATCATGCAGAGAAATATTAGTGTTTCACATTTTAGTTCTTTTAATTTTTTAGCCATAACTTTATGCTTAACATTCATTGGTTCAGTAATTAAAAAAGTAGCCAACATTTCAAAAAGAAAAAAAAGCAGACAGAATGACGCAGATCTTTCTACTTTTTCAAAAGAAAAGAAAAGGTGCTAAAAAACAAATCAATTGCTTTAAGAAATGCAAACTTTCCAACTTTGAGTAAATTTGCATCATAATCATATTTTTTATAAAGGCGTTTGATTGGAAAGAAAGAAAATTATTAATAGTATTTTTATTTTTGATTATTTGGTTATTACATTTGATTATTTGATTAAAGAAAGAAGATTATTATCTCATATTATAGAATATAAGATTTAATATGTTGTTATTTTTATTATTACATTTAGTTATACAATATTTTTGAATAGTGAAAATGTAAGATAATCAGTAATACCAAAATAGAGCTTCAATATCAAACAAATTACATGCTAAATCGACGCCAAAAAATATGCAAATCATTGAATCTCTTTTAACACCTAATTACGCTTATAGTTAAATTTCTTTGTTTTTCTTTTTTTAAAAAAATAAATTCAGATTTTATTTCAGAAAAGGAATAATGCATCAATCAACTTAATAAAATATTTCAACAATTTTTATTTTTCTTACTTTGCATGCCTTTTTAAATGCACTTTATAACCAAATATGTGGTATGCATGAATCCGAATAAATTTGTTTTGCCAAAATACATGACCACCGCTAATTTGCCTTCCATAAAGAAAGAAAAATAAAATTTTAACGAGGATTACTGCTTGAAACTGAAATAAACTCACTGTCATGGATAACGGATCCAGGAATTATAATTGGTGAGGCAAATTAATATGTATGTATAATATTATGCATAAAAAAAGATGTAAAGAATTAAAAATTAATTCAAGTGTAATAAAAAGGGACATCTAGTTACACTTATGGTAATTTATTTTACTTAAGTTTTTATTTCTACTGAGTATATCTTTTTACTTCACTTGAATTTTTTAACAAAATATAATAATTAATGATAACATATTTATATATTTATAAACTTTTTTAATTATTTAAAATTAAAATATATTAGAAAAGAATGAAAAGAAAAGAAAAACAGATTAGAAATATCTCAATTGGAGGAACCCTTCATCTGTCTTTCACGTTATTCATGATTTACGTGGTCTTACAATCACTTTGGATCTATTTGGTTGGCCGTTAAAATTAGTGATACAAATAAAATAAATTATTATAATAAAAAATTAAAATTAGTGGTAGAATGTATTTGAATACAAAACCAATGATGATAATGAAAAAAACAAATCATTAAAGACATCGGATTAAAGCTATATGTTATAAAAAATTTAAATTATTTAATATTTATTAAATTATTAAATTATTTTATGTCAAATAATGATTTCATTAATAAAAAATTAAAAGTTATTTATTAATTTATTGAATAATAAATTTTTATATTAAATTTCCAAAATTATTTTCTAATTTTAAGTAAAGAAAAAAAAGAAATAGAAAAAAAGTGATTAACTTGAAAGAGAAAACAAAAAAATAAAATAAAATAAAGGAACAATTGAGGACTAGAACTCAAAACTCCATTGAACGGTGGAAATCACGTCATACTAAAAAATTATTTGGATTGCAAAGTTACGGGTGACAATTTTTAATGGCAACTGCATCTCTATTAGCAAGTATATGGCAACTGCATCAATTATGGAGGTTTGAATGGAGTTTATGTATCTTTATTAAGGATGCCTACATGTTCAAAGTTTTTTTAACCAAATATATGTTCAAAGTTCATTTACTTTCTTAGGCAAATAAATTCGATGACATATACTAGCCAATACAAATTCTCATTTATCAAAAAAATAAAAATGAAATATGTTTTTATTTTTATTTTTCATTGACCAATTGTTTATTTAAATTATTTATTGAAGAATTAAGTCCTAATAAAATACATTTAATTTTTAAATATTGTTATATAAATGTCATAAAAATTATAATTAATTTATTTATCTTGTGCATAGCACTGATTTAAAATTAGAATAAGAGCAAAATATGTACCACTCAGACCCTACGTGCCCACCTAGTTAACTGCCTTTCTCCTTTTCCCACCCTAATAAAGGAAAAAAAAAAGAAAAAGCGAAAGGAAGGAAAAGAGAAGAAAAAGTAGAACATCTAAAATTGACGCCAACGTCAACTGGAGGAAGACTTGAGAAGTCTTTCAAGGAGTGTTTTACGTCATTCATGACGTGCGTTTGCAATGATTTGATCACACCCTAATATGTTCTTAATCTATGCCGACATGTTTTCACCACATTCATAACTTGCGATCTCGAGTTGACTCGTTCGTGTAACACATTTACTAATTTATTATTGCCATGAACAAGTTAGTTTATGAGTCTTTAACTGGAGAGGGGCTGAATAAATATCTGACCATCCATGCTAGCCAATGTAATTTATACCTAATAATCAACAAAATATTCCAAACCATGGCTTCTTTCTGCATATAATTCCAAGGTCCTTTTATTTCTCATGCTTGTGTCGGTTCAGTTATCTTATGTTTATCCAAATGGTATCATAAAATATTATTTTTAATTAAACCTTATTTTACATTAAAACTTAATAAAATTTCAACTGTAATAACAATATTTTGTACGAAAATTCGATTGTTAAATTTGATAAAAATTTATAAAGTGATTATCAATTTTTTAATTAGATATAATTGATTAATTAAAATATTATTTTTTAATTAAAAAATCTTAAAATTAATTAAGATTCATTAAAATAGATTTTAGTTTGTGAAATTAGGATTGAGTCTGAAAGTACTATTACGAGTGAGGAATATATTAATACCCTCACATCATCCATTTAAAGAATGGTATCAATTAAATACGTGTTATCTTTTAATTTTGATACTACAGTCATTTTAATATTTAAAGTTAATTCCTTAAAAATTATTTATGAAAAGCAGTTTTTATTATTATTTTGTGAAAAATTATTATTTTTGTCTTCTATAAATTTTTCAACACTTTGATGGATTCTATAAAAAATATTTTTATTTATGAAATTTTTGAAAAACTTAACCATTCACAAAATTCATAAAATTTCATCATAAGATATAAATTTTTTTTTCATTTTTAAAATTAATTTCAAAATTATCTTAACTTTTTGGCGAAATTCAAAAAAATATTTTTCTTAGAAAAATTTTAAAAAATAAGACTCTTTCAATTTTTTAAAAACTTCTTACTCAAAAGATTTAATTGAATTAAATGCATAATTAATATTTTTTGTTTTTTTTTTATTTCTATTTTATCATTATTTTTATTTTTTATTATTTAAATTAACCTTTATTTAGTAAAAACAAGTTTTTAGATTATCTCCTCTCTTTGGTGAAATCTAAAAATGCTTTTACTTACAATAATTAAGAAAAACTAAACTCTTTCAATTTTTTTTTAAAATTACATCTTAATTGATTTATTCAAATAATCAATTATTTATTTTATTTATTATTTGTAGCATTTTTATTTTTTATGAAAAAATAAATTCGTAAATTATCTCAATAGTTTAGCAAAATTTAGGAAATAATTTTGCTTGTAAAGTAAGTTAAAATATAATTTTTTTTATTTTCCTTAATAATTAATTTTGGAATTTAATCTTTTTTTTATTTTTTTATTTTAGATAAAAATTACATTTGTTTGATTTTATATTTTATTAAAATATACTTATTTCTTTAGAAAGGAAAAAAATAATCATTTATTTTTCTATAATTAAAAAATAATAATTAAATAAAAATAAAAAATAGATAAAAATCAAAAAAATCAAAATTAAAAAAAAAAAAACTTAAATAAAGGTCGGGGGCCATACATGAGTCGACACATGGGTCTGCGCACGGGTGCGTTGTTTTGAATGACACATAAAAATGATCAAATTTATTTTTTATTTTTTTTCTCTCTTTTCCAGACCCTCTCTATCTAAAATGTTCATCAATTTCCCACCTTATAGAGAAAAAAAAACATAAAAAAAAGGAACAAAGAGAAAAGTAGAAACATATAAATTAACACCAATGTCAATTGGAGGAAGACTTAAGAAGTCTTTCAGGGTGTGTTTCACGTCATTCATGATTTGATCACACTCAATCAATGCCGGTATGTTTTCATCACATTCCTGACTTGCAGTCTTGAGTTGACTCGTGGATGTACCACATTGACTCATTTACTACTCTTCGTGGAAATTAACTGGAAAGGGGTGAACAAATACCTGATCATCCATGCTGGCCAATGTAATTTATACTTAAATAATTAACAAAATATATATTCCATTTAAACTATCCAGATCATGGCTTCTTTCTTAATATCATTCCAAGTCATCTTGCTGAG